CCTTGCAATTTGAGGGGATTGTGAGGCTTCGCTTTCGTACTTGCGCCCTTTGTGAGCTAACCCCTTGTCGTCTCGAGACTTCTCTGAGGACGAAAGAAGACATGGTGCTAGGGCAGAATGTGTATTTCCGACGTACAGAGGGACCTGAGGTGCTGTTGATGAGGTCTAGAGGCCAGTCCGCGTGACGGAAGCATGGAATCGGAGTTATAAGCCAGAGCGCATCCAAAATGAGGAACAAATACCTAGCCACAGCCCTGTGCATCCCCGCTCCTCTTGTAGCCTCGTGCCCGCTACTTTCCTTGGTGAAACACTCGAGTTTACCACCACGAATTAGTTGGTGCAAGTATGCAGGAACACTACGAGCTATTTTTAATGATTACACTTAAAACACTTTATACAAAATTAGTTATAAGTTTATTCTACTATAATCTTTATTTCTAAGTATTAAAAAAATACAATCTGTCAAATGGACTCGTGAGTACACATGAATTGCCTAGATGTACAACAGGAGTGATTGCAAAGATTGCCCTTTTGAACATTAAATATCGGCACGACTTTCCATTTCAGCTTTAATTTACGTTTTCTAGATTACAAGTTGTTACAAGAAATGCTTGTGTTTTGCCCAAAGAAACGGGGGACTTTGCTACATCTAACTCATAAACCTGAAAAGATAGAAGTAGTCCATTTCACCAAGCTGCAATTCTTCCATTGCTTATTTAACTCCTCATTTTGCTGACACCAGGTCTGCGGTCTCTGCTTCGGTACTTCCGCTGGTGGCTTGGCCTCCGGACTGCGTCAGTAACCCCATTAGACCGTCTGACCAAGCATAACACTACCTTTCGTCGCTGAGGTAGTCTCGAAGGGCTAAAAAGTAAATCCTTAAAGCAACTGAGCACAATTGCGGTAGCTGGTTGCATTTCTCATAGCATATCAATGAAGAATTTTACCTGACTCCTAAAGTTGCACAAGTATCTACACTCTGATAATGAATGCAACGTAAAAAGCCAATGAAAGACAACAGAGTTGCAATAGGAATTTATGGGCTTCCAGTGCTATTCCGTGCATAATGGCATGTCACCGACACAGTAGGTAGGCGCAGGGGGCATGAAAGCTGCAATTCTTTTGATGGGCACAAAGTTGTAAGTCGTGGTTTAATGGGACTCATGAGAGACACCAGGCCTTGATTACCATGCACATCAAATGTGAGTTAGTCGGCATTTAAAAACAAAGCCGGCATGGCATAGAAATGTACCTAAAGATGACCGCTTTGTTCATGCAGGAGGAGGCAAGAAGAGACGCAGTTCATTTCCCAATCCCCATTTGAGTTCGGACGCAAGCTCCTTCAGACATGGAGGTCATTCAAGAG